GTTCTTTTCAATACATTGAAACACCACTCTATGGAGTCCAAAACTTTGGCCTTTATAACATTGGCTACTTACTACAGTATAACAAAATATATCCTTCACATAAGCGCTGCCAATTCACTTGCACTTACACATTTCTGTAGTTTTATAATAAAAAAGTATAATAAAAATTATAATAAAAAAATTAAATTGGAAAATAACCCATAACTTTCCCAACTCAATTAAAATTTAGACAATTTATACAAACAATTTTCACCTTAGAAAAAAATCCATAATGTAGAAGTGGCTTCCCTTTTTAGTCACCTACAGCTGGGGGAATCTGCAGGTTCCCATCAATGCACTAGGAAGGTGATTGACTACTTTAGGGTGAGTTATTACTGTGGACATAGGAACTGAGATTTTGCCAGTTATAGGACAGTGGGTAACACTAACATAACCACTTGTTTCACTATGCTGTCAGAATGAGACTTAAGAATAATAGTGGGAAGCATATTCCAGAGATGAGGACCATAGCTTCAAAGATTTTGCATCAACGTTATGATCTTGACAAGTTAAATAAAAGACCAACTCCTAACATAGTAATCAATGGGAAAAATATGGCAAAAGAAGATTGATCCACTATGCTGCTCTCTTAAGAATTATGAAAGTTTAAAAGAAATTAACAAAAACATATAACACAAGATTTTGCAACAAGGTTTAATATTTTCCTGACTTCCAAATATCTACATTTTTAAAATATTTAGAATTGTCCACTAATTTTCTTTAATATTTCCTTGAATGCTATATTATTTGGTAAATATTTGCTGTTCACTGTCAATTGGGGTTACCAGATAGCAACTGTGAAAAAATGGGACAGGGGGTACGGGGTGGTAGGAAAAAGTCCCCAAAAACTGGACTGTCCCTTTAAAAATGGGACATCTGGTCACCTTACTGTCAATGGACTATTCAATGGTAATGCAAGTTGATGAAGGAAAATGTGGGGAGCTGTTTTGGCTTTAATCCAAAATAAGGCACATTACTAGAAGAGAAATATGGATAGTAACAATCAGTAATGGTCAAAGAAGACTTAAGCAGTGAGTATTTAGCCTCTCTGGATTCAGATATGCACAGGACAAAAGTCTGTCCTTCTCCAGATCCACCAAGATTGATGTTCAGAAAAGGAAGAATGGCAAACCAAGTAAGTTACAATCCATTGAGCTGGAGACACATGGAAATATTTTGCACTTATTCTGAAGGACTTTAGCTTTTTGTTGGATTCCTAATCTTGGCAAGTAGCAAAGCTAACTGAATGGTGCTTAGAAAATCCTTTTTCTTTAGTAAAAAGTAGTCTAGAGACTTAAGCACAGTCTTTTTCAATGTCAGAGTTCATGCAAGGTATTTCATTTTGATAGAGTTCTTATTTCTGAAACAGCTTCAGCATGGTTTGGCAGCATCAGCAAAGTGGCATTTGAAGAGATCAGAAAGAGCAAATGAATAATCGCTCAAATTAGAACACTCTTGAATAATACTTTGCTTTTAAAAATTAACCTTTAATACATTTGAAAAAAAAATTCAATGAAAAGTACATCGTGGCTATGAAACTACTCCCTGCTTTCTTGCATCATGGAACAATACAAGAGGGATGACTTCAAGGAACTTGTGACAGCAATTTTCAGTCTCACTTTGAGGTGTTCCGGAAGGTTGTAACTTAAAAGAACTACTACTATAGTAGCCATCAGCTGATGCAGTAACTTTGTACCACTTCATCTGCTCTGCATATGTAGTAACTTGTGATAGACCTATGAACCATACTCAAGTTTCAGATTTATTTGCTTGCAAAAACATATTTTAAAAGGTTGCTCATTTCTTTAACATTAGCACTGGGTAATGCCATACTGTTACAGGTTGGTGATTCTGCTGCCAAATTTTCCAGTTTTTCATAACTCCACCATAAACATTTCAAATTGCTAAAATATTTGACGTAGAAAACTGACTTCTGCCAATTTCACATAAATATTTTTCATAAAGGATTTCACTCTGTACCCTACATATGCACTCGACAGAATGTAATAGCTTCTAAAGCACCAGTTAATTCTGTTGAGTGGCTTAATCCCATTTTGTCTAAGTATGTATTTTCATGACTGATTATAATGGCACAAAAGCAATGATGATTTATCAGTTATATAATAAACATGTTTAAAATTGTTTATGTAACTCTATGATAAACCTGACAGGAATATCATGCCAATGTCTGCACACATTCCAGATTTCATTTCCATTTCCTTATTAACATGAAAAGTGAAGAAAATGAAATACAAAGGGGCAGATCCTCAGCTTGTGTAAATTGTCAGATGGGCGTATGGTATTTTACAACAGTTGAGGATTGGCACCAAAAAGTCTAAGGTACCTTTAAAAAACTAACTCAGACCCTGGTTCTGTAAACGTACTCTCATTGAGTTAAACATGGTACCTAAAACTGATAAATCTAAGAAATACAATGAGGTTAATAAAGATCTGCTGTGTTGTGCTTATATAGCGCAGTATATAAGGTACTGTCTGTTAAATGCCCAGTGTGAAGATTTCTGAAATACCCAGAAATGAGCAATGAAATAAGAAGTTGTGCATTTCCTGGCTTTTGTCTGTAACCTAGATTCTTAACATTATTTTAACATATGGGGATGAATGGTGTCGCACCTAATTGCTTTACCACTATGCACCTTCCCTGCTTGAAAACCTGATCATAGGAAGGATTTGCCTCTCCTTTTATTCAGAGAAGACCAAACAGCATATACTCCTGGGGAAATTCTGCACCACTGTGCAATGCAGAATTTTGCAGAAATTAATGTGCATGCAGAATTTCCTTTTCCTCCCACAGAATTGGGCTGCAGAGATGTTCGCTGCCACTAGGGACGCTGGATCCAGCAGAGCCCAGCTCGCAAATAGAAGACAAGGCTCGGGGAGAGAATTAGAGGGTTCTCAGCAACTGCAGTTCCCAGCATGTCCTGAAAGAATGAGGTGGTGCATGCAGGAAACTCTGTGCGAGCCCAGGACCCAGCATCCCTCTGGATCCCTGGCCTCTAGGGAGAAGGGGGTGTGAGTGTCTGGGCTGAGGGGGGCTGCGGCTGGGCTCTGCGGGGGTAGAGGGTGTGAGTATCTGGGCTGGGGGGGCCATGGATGAGATCTGGGGAGTTGGGGGTGAGTGTCTGGCCTCCTGGCTGGGAGGGGTGTGAGTGTCTGGCCCCCCAGCTGGTCTCAAGGTGGGGAGAGGGAAGAGAAACAGGAACTGGGTTGTCACAGGGGTTTCTTTAACTCTCTACCCCTCAGGAAATTTTAAATAAATTACCAAAATAATTGAAACTGGTGTGATTATATAGTGGTATTTTGACAAATAACATTTGCAGAATTTTAAAATCTTGTGCGCAGATTTTTTTATTTTTTGGCACAGAATTCCCCCAGGCGTAAGCATAGAATTGGTATATGGGAGTGCAGGGATAGATGCAGTGGCTAAACCACACACTCCCATCTTTACATCAAACCTTCGAAAGTTCATATGTGCGCCATGCAGTTAAGGCTCCTTTGATTGGGACAGGAGTGTAAATTCCCTTTGGGAGCTGGTGTATTTTTGAGTGGATGTCGATGGGGGGAAGGGGAGAATTAGGTGCTTCTGTAAAGCTCTGTACTTTGCCCTCTCAATGGTGCAGGGCAAGTGATTCCTTAGGAAGCTATGCATCCAGATTATAATAGGAGGTCAGGCTTCACCATACATAATAGCTTCACCATAAGTTGGAGCTTTTGTTCTCTCTTGATACCTGGTATTCACAGAAGGGAGAAATCACACCTAGCCTTCACCACCACCCCAAAGAGTGGTATTTATGAGAAATGCCGTTATTTATCTGGGTTCTCTGACCCTCCATCCCCCACTGGTTTTATCAGCAGATGGTATGATATAGCTTCAACACAATTGTACAATATGATCCTAGCAAAACCTATTTTCTTGGTCAAAGATGTTCAAACTGTCAGCTCTATATAGTTGTAGAAAGACATATGACATATGAAAGAAAAATTAGCTGGCGATTTAAATATACTTAAAACACATCAAGAAGTAAATCCATAATACTTTTGCAGTAGAATGCACATTGCAGATAGACAACACAGAGAAATTTTCCATTGTAGCCTGCTATTCTGAATTATGCTATTTTCTTTCACAAACACCTTGAATTTGAATACATACACACACAGAAATCTGCCCAGCAGAAAGGGAAAGTTAATCTGTGCAGGAAAAAGAGCTTTCTTAGTGGTTTGTCCAAGACACTGAAACAAGCTTGCACAGGATCTAAGAGCCACCTGAAGCCTTGCCACATTCCATACCAAATGTGAGGTGCACTTTTTGGACATTGCTTTCAATAATACACGCACATAGCACAGCTGATATAAAATAAATGAATAAATAATATATATTAAAAATAAAATAGAGCAGAATAAAACAATCCTCCCCTAATTATCTTTTTGGAGAGAGAAAAAGGGAGGGAAAGAGACACATGTGACAAATGCCTGTCACTTACTGTTTACTGCATTTCTGGAAGGTGTTCAGACGTTACGGTTGTATGAGTGGTATAAATACCTACACAGAACATTTTCTTTTTGGACTTTACAGCCTTATTAAACATCCTGTAAGTCTTACTGTAAACTTGGCTACTTTTGTATTCTCTGTCAAGTATACTGAAACAGTGAATAGGTCATAATCTGAGAACTGAATGAAAATGCCTTTTTAAATAAGAGACAGAGATATGAAATAAATGGCAGCCAACCACCAAAACTAATCCCAAATAAATGCAATAATTTAACTTTAGTTCAGTTGAAAATGCCATTTTGACAATGTAAAATACTTGATGTAATCTAATTCAATAATAAAGCATTATAAGGAATAATTTCTGATTTACAAGAACCCATGTCCTATCTCCTTTGATCATAATCATCTCATTCACTCGTATGGCAAAACAGTGATAAAATATAATACAACTTACGCAGATTATTTGCAGGTGGCCTTGCCTCCATGTTTTCATAATGTTGCACATGAACTACAATGTTTAGGTCTCTTTCCATGTGATCTGTTGTGCAAGGACCCTGAGGTCGCATAACATCAGCAAGAGCCCTGAAGAACAAAAATTAAACTCAATTAGAATAAATCTGCTGCAAAATCTATAATGCAGTTGCAATGTACTCTGGTCCTTCTAGTTCTCGATATTGTACATTACAACATATGTACTGCAGAGTCACGGTTTAATAGGGGCCTGATCCTGCTCCCATTGACATCAAAGAGAGTTTTGACACTGACTTCAGTAGGAGCAGGACTGGCACTAGGTGTATACTATAGAAGTAGCTGATCCATTACTGTGCCATAAAAAATAATTGGCCCCCTGCAAAAGCCTTGGCCTTAGGCAAAGGAATGATATGGCATGTGTTATTAATGTCTTCAGGGTTCAGTGCAAGTGTTTTCAGTTCTGTACCTCACTGACCATTGTTTGTCTCCTTTGTCACCAGATTTGGACCGTTTAATCCATTTTTAAAGAAAAAGGATGTTTTTACTAGGCACTATGCCCAGTTTAGTTTAATTTTGTGTAAAATTACATACAGTATCCTAGATACTGCATCTGGTTTATAAATTAATAAATAAATACATTCACTATGAAAGTCGAGGCAAATACAGTACAGCTCTTCCACTGAACCAGTGTGACAGGAGTTATTTTCCTAGTTGTTATGTGCTATACTGAAATATTGAACAGTAACTCCATATAAATGTGTGGGTTACAGATAGAGAAATCTTGAGCTGGATCTTGCTCTCAAAATGCAGATACAAACTTTGGTGCACATAAGATACACAATATGTTCCCTCATGTTTGTGGAAATGTTTATGCTATTAGTATGTGAGGTACAATTCTGATTGTGTTACACCTGATGATACTGTAAAAAGTTAGAAGAAGGTAACCAAAATTATTTAAAGTACTGAAGCAACATTTCAATATGAAGCAATACTTATACAGCAAGAGTAGCAGAGCTGGCTTACATAGCTGAGAAAAAGGCCACTAGCAGAGATCTCATAGGGGTATGTACAATATGATCCTGAAAGGAAAGGATTATATCACAATCCACAGTTTGAAAACAAGTTATGGCCGGAAGCTGGGAGAGCACTCCTATCTAATGAATGTATGCAGAACTTGTTTATACATAACAAATTGTTTATGTCAGCATTATAGATTTAATTCAAGAGGCAGCTGGACACATTTTTGGAAAAAGAAGAAATGCAAATGACAGATCTCACCTTCATTCTGGGAGTTCAAATGGTGTAATCTCATAGTGCAGAGATTAGTATTTCCCAAATCTAGGAGACCAGGTTTTTAGAGATGGCCTTTTCATTGCCTTTAATGTTACTGTAAATATTATTCATTATATACTCTAAATAACATCCCACATACTACCAGATTAACTGTTCCCTGTGTTTGAAAATACCAATGAAGTCTTCACCATTTCAAAGGGGGTTCAGGGAGTTAGGTATCCGACTCCTATTATTTTAAATTGCTTTTAAAATCCAAACCTTAGAAAACCTGGGCACATTTTGATTGTCTAATACTAATTCAAAAGTATGTGCTTGTTTGCTAATTACTGAATATTCAACCAGGCATTAAGAATGCCAAAAGCCAGGATAAAAGAAAGAAACCTCTTTATCTGTTTTAACAAAACATTACCTCAATTTATATTGTAGTATACGAGTAAAGGGCCTGATCTTTCGAGGAGCTGAACATCTCATGCAAGATGCTGCACACTCTTATCTGTCATTTACATCAATGAAAATTAAGAATGCTCAGCACCTCATAGAACCCCCCCCCCCCCAAAAAAAGATATATATATGTATATAGGGTGACCAGATGTCCTGATTTTATAGGGACAGTCCCAATTTTGGGGTCTTTTTCTTATATAGACTCCTATTACCCCCTACCCATCCCGATTTTTCACACTTGCTGTCTGGTCACCCTATATATATAGAAGATCAAACATAGATGACATATTATTGTCTTAATTAATATTACAGATTAAGAGTCACATTCTACCCTTTTGAGGATTTGCTCATGTAATTTTAAATGTTAGTGGATGTTTATGTACCACAATGAGAACATAAAGTACTTGGTATAGGGTACTTGTTTTTCTGAAACTGTATGTAGATACAACAGGTTGTTGGGTAGGGCTTCTCCCTCCATGCGTTTGGCTAACCTGAGTAAATATGACCATGTCTTTACTCTTTACCCATATATAGTTTTTCACTTGCTGACTTTGCTTCTGTATTGTACCTCTATCGAGGTACAATGTAGAATGGTACTATCTTATAAATATCTGAAGAAGGTGTCATTAAAGTTCTCATTGGGAAATTAAATAAATAAGAGACTTATATTGGCACTATACATATACATTCTTAATGAATTTAAGAAAATGCATACTACAGGATAAGATGATAATCTTCAAATCAGAGATGTTGTCTGTTCCCTACATTGATAATGATGGAAATCATACATATATGGAGCAATGTCTTCGACCTATCAGATCAGCCCAAAGCTATTAAAAAGTGTCACAAATCTTCAGGATATCTCTTATTGTAATATTTTGCTCTCTGGATCTATAATGCTGTTTTAAGAAGTTATAAAGCATATCTAGCCAGGCAATTCCCTTATGGCTACAAGCTTGAAGAGGTTCATACAGATGTGATTTCATGAAAGGTTAGTTGTCAGTTTTTTTGGTTCCAAAAGTGGGTCAAAGCCAATCTGGGAAATAATATCACACAAGGGATTTTAGCATTTTGGCAATCCAGACTATTTTTGTCCCCAAGCACACTCCTTTTGGAAAATCAGCACATTCTGGAGGGTGGGAAAATTCAGGTGGTTCATAAGATATTCAGGAGAATGCTTTCACACTATCACAAACATATAAGTTATAACAAAAACAGGAACTATAACAGTGCAGATCTGATTGCAGACTTTGGCCTTTAGGCCCTTTACTGCTCTTGATTTATGTGCACATCTCCCATGTGAAGTGGGGCAGTATATGATGCTGCATTTTTATTTACAAAAAATCCCTTCTGTGGAGGAGAGGTAAAGTCTATTGGAAACTCTGCAAGGATCACTTTTTGGGATTCTTTTCCTATTCACCACTCAAGGGAGATGTTTCTGTACTTGAACTGGCAGTAAAAGGATGCGGCTTTGCAGCCCAGAAATCCTGTTGAGCCTAGTGCTCTGATGAACACCAACTGCATCCTAGGGCAACAACTTGGGGAGACAGACCCCTCTCCACTGCTACCCAGCTTCCCCATCTCACCTGGCAACATAGCTCCCTCAGAAGGGAGGATACCCTACCGTAAGTCTTCCCACCACCACGACATCTACCTCCACCTTACTTCCTTTCATAGGAGATAGAAGATTCACAGGGAGAATTAATGCTCTCTTGGACACTTTATTCCTTTCTTAGACACTAGTTCTCTTTCTTTGCCTATGGATAAAGAAAACACTTTAATTCTCTTAACTTTGAACAAATTTACCTAAAGAAGACCAAGAGGTAGCATTAGGAATTAGGAATACACAATACTTTAGAATCCCATGGGAAGCATATCATGAGTGATCCTTCTCCCCCTCCCCTTATCTTCTTCCACTTTCACCCAACACCACAATCTAAAGAGAGTAATATATTAAAATGTAACAAGGGTCACACTTTGCCTTGTTTGTCTAAACTACAGGAACTACCTAGCATCCCTAAAAAGGTATGAATTAGTTTGATGGTTTTCACTGAATAAATCTGCTTACCTTGTTAATGTTTTTTCTGCATTTTAACTGACAAATAATCTATAAAACTTCAAAATGGCCATTTCATGTCAAAACAAATGTCTTCATATAGCAGCAAGCAGAGTGCAGTGTATGGTAAAAGATACCATATCTGATCATTCCAATAGCCAGGTTGTGACACCCTTGTTCACATAAGTACCTTACTTGGCTAGCAGATCTATGGACTGTCTGCATAAAGAAGTACTCCACACGATGAGTAAGAATGACACAGTCTAGCCCTAAATTAGACAACATTCTTATTCCCTACATGCATATGCAAAATTTCAGATTAAAAGTAGCTTTCAGCAATGTAATGTGATTAAAAATAAAGCTTTGCATGTTTTGGTCATTAGTAATAAAATAGGCACACCAGTATATTGTGTATTATATTTCCGATAAGTAATGCCACTCTTTCTTTAAGTGAATTTGTTTGTAAAGTTAAAAGGATTCAAGTGTTTCAGGCATCCATTAGCTAGTTAAGGAAGCTAAAGCAATAGTGTCCCTCCTTGTTAGCGATATTCTCAGCCTGGCCTGGGAGATGAGACATTGTCAAATGAGGGAATAAAAAAGCAGATCAGCTTCTGTGTGCTTCTCACTACCAGCCAAAATAGATAGCACTGGAAACCAAGCAAACTACTTTAATGAAAAATAGTAAAATCTTTAACCAGGATTTCTAACATCAAGTCCATCATTTCAACATGGCCTAACTAACTCACTCATGACTTGGGCTTTATAATTTATATGATTTTAAAAATGAGATTGTATGTTGGCAGAGCATAGGAAGCCATGTTCATTTCTTATAGACCTCGTGGGGATTGGTGCCATATAAGAAGGTAGTTATCTAGATAGGATATATAGTGTCTTACTTACTGGTACTATGAAATGTTTTTTAGCAAGTACTTATGTTTACATTGTAAAACTTTGTGCAGAGCTCTGGTTAAACAGGTTGAGGACACGGAGATTGCCGTTCATTTTAAAGGGAACCCTTAGGCAGCCTCTGAAAATCTCAGCTACTGTGTGAAAAATTAAATTAAGCATCCAAATTCCCTAGATGGTTATAAAAATCCCACCATGTATGTTTGTGATGAGAACTTTTGAAAAAGTTGTAGCAATTTCCTAACAGCTGTGGAATATCCATTGTGTGTACTGGGTGGGCGTCTGTTTATCATCCTGACTCTTGTAGGTTCCTACAACCTCTGAAATAATCCTACCTTAAGCGATCTATGAATAAAAAAGAACATGAGTTTGAACAATATTAACTAATCAGGGCAACAGCTGTCCTTTCTGAGCCCCACTTCAGCAATCTAATCTATATACAGGTCTGAAGGGGCTTAGAATGATATTCCATCCCCTATAATTCTGTATCCATAGGCTTAGGGATAGAAATATCATTTCAGAACCCTTCATACCTTTATCTGATAGAGAGAAAATAGATATATCCTTTTAGAGGTTTTTTAAACCAAATATTTCTACTACTGGAAATGTGACTAACTGATCTAACCAGAGCTGAACAGAGATGGATGCACTGTTTTCACCTTCTCTCTGTCATGTGTTTGGTTGTTTGGTTTTTTTTGCAAATGAAGTGTCTAAACTCACCTGCTGTTTTACCTGCATGTAGACACTACAGAAATGGAATGAGGCAGATGGGAATAAAGCTATTTTACCAAAGCTTTGGCTAACAGATACAGGGTAGGGTGTATAATTTTTTTCAGGATTCATGTATTCTTTTTATCAATTTAGTGGGTCAGGATTCTCAAAAGGTCTTACTATTTATACCCTGCTTAACAAAGACAGTCTCCCCAGAATTACCACAGACTCATAGTGTTGAGTTGACTAAAAATTCTATGGTCTGTTTTGTTCCTCAGTAGTAAAGATGAATCCATATCAGCCAGTATATAAATAGCAAATAATTGCTAGTGAACTGGTGATGCATTCGCAGCACTATTTTTGGTGGCTTCTCTGTTCATTTCAGGGGAGGCTGTTAATCACAAAGCAATACAGAAACTTGGACAAGAAATAAGGCTCCAGGTGTTGTCGATCTCTTGAACTATCTTTCCGAGGGTGACTCCTGAGCCAAGCTTTAAAGCTGTGACTGTGAATTACTCCATTTCTATTGACCACCAGTCAGGGAGATAGAAAACCTTCTGCCACGCTGCATGTCCGCTAGAAGGTGTCCTTGCAATTGTATTTCATTTCCAAAGTTGACCAAGATGCTGGAATCAATTTAGACTCTTTAATGGCGCTATTTGCCTTTTTTAAAAAAAATCTGCAAATGTCTTTCCCCATCTGTTTTACTTTCCTGTGTCTGGGATTAGCATAATGAATCAGACAGACTGAAAACTGGACAAATATGTTATCCCTTGATTCTGAAGTGCTGTGACAATCTGGGTGCTGGAGTATGATGTTAAAGCAATTGGGCTGTGTCCTGAGCTGCCCACCTGCCTACCCACCAGCAGGCAGCCAGTCCCTGGAGCAGGCAAGTACACAGCATGCCTCACTCTAGGTAGGGGAGGTTCTCTTTGATGTAACCCAGCCATTGCATTGTGGACACACAGAGTGTAACACACACACAACAAAGACTTTTATGTTCCATATTTGGTTACATTTTGCCTCTGTAGCAACTGGGGGGAAAAGGCTTGATATGCAGGCAGCTTGGTTACATTAAATGTTAGAATCCTTCTACAATAGGTCCCTTTTGGTCTCTCCCTCGCTACCCCCCAACCTCATTTTCAAGACAAAGAGCTCTCACACTTTCAGGGGTGGGGGAGGGAAAGTCCTGTCAACACCATTTTGCAGTGGGAGAGGGAGGGAGGGATGGATGGGATTTGTTTACATCCTTCTGTTGAGAGATAAAAACCTTGTTGGGGCTTGGCAGGGGGAACCCAGCAGACCCCCTTGAAACTGATTCAAACCCCGCATTTGTGGCTGGACTTGGGCTTTTTTGGTTTGAGACAATATTTCCAAGAACAGTTATTGGCCCTTGTCGGGGAGGGGGGCGAACACTGCAGGTTAAAAACGGGTTAGTGGCTGGGCAGTTTCGGTATGCTGTCTGGTGCTCCTGGCCGTGTGAGTCAGAAGCCGGGTCTGGGGGGCAGCCCTGGAGCCCTGCTCTCCAAAGTTGGTCTGTCTAGTCTGTCCCTGCGGCGGAGCCTGGCTGGCGGGAGTTGTTTGCTTAGCAGGAACACATGGGCTCCGGTATAGTCTCCGGGTGGGGGGAGGGGTCCCCGCTGCCTGGCGCGGCGCCTTACCTGGACATGTGCTCCCGCTGCGGTCTGTGCGCCTTCTCCAGCCCCAGCTTGGTGAAGATCCCCACCAGCACCATGACCGCCACCACCCCGCAGATGATGTAGACGATGAGGTTGGTTTTATCCCTGGTGGGGTCGTGCAGGGGGTCGTCGATGCGGGCAGGAGGCTTCCCCGTGTTCATCCACACCGGCGTCTCGTAGTTGGTGCAGGTGCTTTGATCCAGCCGGGTCTTCTTGAACTTGCAGCAGAACCTGAAGCCACAAGTGCCGCAGCAGAAGACGAACTCCCCCGAGCTGCAGTTGAACGGCGGGTCCCACTGGCCCATCACGTCGAAGTAGCCCCGGCAGAAGTCCGGGGTCGGGGGCGGCTCCGAGGCGTCCCCGTGCTCCCCAAAGCTGGAGTGGTTCCCCCCGGAGAGCACCACGATGCTGCCCAGGTGCTGCCCGGCTTTCTCCTGCGCCCGGCACACCAGCGTGAGCAGGTCCGCCACCAAGCATCCGAGGGCCAGCCGGAGGAAGCCCTTCATCCTGCCTCCCAGCCCGGCCGCCGCGAAGCCGCCGCCGCCGCCGCCGCCGCTCGAGCTGCCGGCTGCTGCGCTGCGCCAGGAGCCGAACATACAGGGGCTCGGGCGGGGGGCCACGCGCTCGCTCAGCCCGCTCGCGCCTGCAGCAGCCTGGTCCGCGCGGGCAGGGGCAGGGGCAGGAGCTGGGCGCCGAGCCGCCCCCTGCCTGGCGGGCTCCCCAGCCCCGGCAGCTCCCAGCGAGCGGAGCCAAGTGAGCGGCACTTGTGGAATCGAGAGTGGAGCGTGCGGGAGAAGGGGAGCGAGGAGGAGGAGGAGGAGGAGGAGTGGAGCGGGGTGGAGGGGGCAGAGATGAGAGGAGGGCTGGGGGGAAGGAGCGGTGGGGCTGGGGAGAGCGGGCGGGGTGAGGTGCGGGCTCCGCAGAGCAGGGGAGAAGCGGGCGCCGGGAGAAGCTCCTCGCGTAGCCTTGTGCAATCTGCAGGCACCGGGGAAACCCCCCTTCCCGCGCCCTGTCAGAAAGCCCGGCCCGTCCTACGAGAAAACTCTCTCCCTCAGAAGAGGAGCCCACGGCGCCCCACCTGAGACGAGGGGCTGGTGCATCCTGACAGCGCCCGCGAGAGAGCGCGGCGGCCGCGGGGCGCTCGGGCTCCCTGCAGCATCCAGCGGGCGGGCAAGCGCTGTCACCAAGGGGAAAATCCGATTCGGTGGGCAGGGTGGGTAGGAGCGAGGGAGATGCGGATTTGGAAAGCTAAATCCGTCTAGCGAGGCGCCTGCCTGAGCCCCGGCGACGCCTCCTAGGCTGACAGTACCAACAAGCACAGCCAGAGCAGCCCCCTTCAGCTGGGGCTGGCCACTGCTCCCAGGCATTCGGTTATATAACACGGGCCTCTGCGAGGAGGGTGTTTCACACACGAGCCAAGGTGCAAAAGCTGCTCCTCCCCCTCCCTTCCGAAGCCCTGACCTGTACCTCGCGGCCTCTTTCTCCCCGGCCCATTCCCACCCCCCAGCTGCAGCAACTGGCCGGTTGCGAGAGAGGAGCTGCCCGCCGCCTGGGGAGAGAGCGTTCCAGTGGGGATTAAAGGGACAATCAGACACATGGCTCAGCCCTGCTGGAAATAAGAGATAAGAGGGACTGAGAAATGCTAGAGGCAGATGTCTGGGACGAGGCTGGAAACCTCGCTGAGGTGATACCCCCGATGCATTTCTTCAGGAGAGCCCAGAGAGTCACGTGGGAGACGAACAACGACCTTTGCACCAGTTTGCAATGACTTTGCTTTTACTACGCACCCTTGGATTCTGACCTCACGTGCCTCAAAATGGGGGCAGGATTTGAACATATACGGGAATTCTATGGTACTTGGAGGGCGGGAAGAGAGACTGCCACTTTCCTGATACTTGAAGAGAACAGTTTACTATGTAAAACCCTTCTTACACCCTAATCCTCTTATCAGTCTCTTAAGATTCACTTACCCATATAACGAATGCAATAGAGGCCAGAACAATTCTAAACGTGTGTGTATGAGACTATGGCTATTACATGGCAGGGAGTGTAAACATGGTGCACTAGTTCTAGCCAATGTTATGGAATGATCCTACATTCTTGTCTTTCATACCTGAACTCCTGTGTATCAGCTATTTAAGAAAGCACTTTATCAGCCAGTAAGGCTGGCTCCAGAGGACATCCTTACACCGCCGGCTATCAGATGTACAATTAAAATAACTTCCCTCCCAACGCGCCTTTGATCCTAGGAAAGACTTCTCAATGATTCACTCCATCCTGGTTACTCTACTTTCTCATCTCCACCACTTGGTTGGAAATCACCCGCAGAAATAGTGAGAACATTTTCCTGGTTACTGTGCTGCCACCAAATGCTAGGAGAAGTCCATTAAAGTGTGGCTTAGCAGACTGTGGGCTGTGTTTTAAAGCAGCTTCCCATCTCCTCTTCGTATATCTCAGGTTGCCTCACCAGGGCCTCTTTGCTGTTATCTCTAAGGAAGAGAGGCTTGCTGATGGGGCTCTGAAGCCGCATGTGCAGGGTGGCAGGTCGCAATTTGGTGGTGGTTCTTCCCCATCTTTGCGAGAGGGCTGGATTGCCGTCTTTGCCGATGCATTTCCAGCGCTTCAGCCAACTTCCCGGCTATGGGAATTGTTAAGAGTCAGTAAATAAGCAGAAAGGTGAATCAGAGGACAAAGCAGACGTTTGGAATCGGAGAGGGCTGTAGTTAGCTAATTGCGATCCTTTGCCATCTCTTAAAAATAGACTCTAAGTACAGTGAGTCTACTGAGCGTTTTGACAGGAAGCCTGGCATCCCTGGCCAGTGGGTAGGAAATAAAGCCGTGAAATTCCACAGCAGAGGAAAACAATCAGTTCCATTCAAATCCAGCTTTCTTTGGTGTTAATATTTAATTCCTAAAACCTCCATCTTCATCTCCCTCTCTTTTCAAATCTCATCAGCAATCATCTCTCTCCTTCCTTGCCTATATTTCTCTCTGCTATTATTTATTATTTAACTCTGTAAAGCACTTTGTGGTACAGTTTGTACTGAGGATGCTGCACAAAATGAAGCTGTACCATATTTATAATCACATACAGAGATATAGGTCCCAGGCCTGCCAAGCACTTGAGAAGGTGTGTCATTTTGCAAACCTGAGTGGTCCCATGGATTTCACTTGTTAGGCAGGTGCTAAAGTGCGCTGCAGGATTGGGGCCATAAATATATAGATATAATAAAATTATAAATTAAATACAAATCTGGGCTGTTAACACTAATTTAGTTGAACCAGAGATAACAATGGAAAGATTTCTTAAATTCTAATAAAGGCAAAACCTGAAAGATTAAAGCCAGATTCTAATCTCAGTTACACCAGGAACTCCACTTACTTCACTGAAATGAGATCAGAATCGGTTCCTAAGTGATTTGCCCTGCGGAGTAGCACTGAGAAACACAAGGCATAATTCAAAGCCCATTGAAACCAACAGAAACACTCTCACTGACTTAAGCATGGGCTTGGACCAGACCTATAACTCTTTAATTTGAAGTCCCTACTCCAATTACACTCTCTGCCTTATTTTATTTTATTTTATTTTTGTATTGCCTTAGCACTTAGGAGCCCTAGTCATGGACCAGGCCCCTATGGTACTAGACCCTCTACAATTTATTTTTAAATGACTTCAATTACAAAATATAGTTGTTAAAAAGAATTGTAAATCATCAAAATGTGAAATCATTAAGTATAATAAATATTACAAAAGAAACAAGAAATGACTGTAGTTTACCCTTATTTCAGACACAGATTTCTCATTGAAAGCAATGGAAGTTTGCACAATGATGGGGTAAAATATGGGCCATTATGTGACAAAGGAAGTATTGCTCAACATTTAGGGCTTAATCCAAAACCCACTGAAGTCAGGGAATAGATTTCCATTTACTTCAATGGATTTTGGATCAGATTGTTAGACTTTTACAGTTTTAAGCTATGGTCTATCACTTTTACTTGCTTCCAAAACAGTTGAAAACTTGCAGCCTTTCACGATAATTATTTTCCCAACTCATACCTATGGGGTCACTCTGCTGCCCTTATTCAGGCAAATAGTCCTTAGCCATATGAGTAGTCCATTGCAGGATCAGGCTTTACATAGGGTCAGATCCTACTCTGACTTCCTCTCCTCTTCTCCCCCCCTCCTTCCCCAGTACTCCCATTGATTTCACTGAGATTTTCAGATGTGAATCAATGACAGGATGTAGCCCAAATTTGTTAAAATAACAGGCTTCTTGCTGGGAAGTCCTGTAGCAGTAAAAAGCCAGCTCTCAATGAGAGTTAGCTAAACAATTCAAACATCATTAGTAGCAGTAGCATTTCAGTAGCACCTAGCTCCAATCAGAGTCCTGTTGTTCTAGGCACTGTACAAACAATTAATAAATGGTGTAGATGTTAAAACCATGATCACAATCTATAAAAATGTTATGAAGTTTGTTAGTAGAGTCATGTTCTTTACATCAGCAACACATGGTTTCCACCAAGTTACCACCAGACACTATAGTGATGGACACTTCATATATTTATCTAATAAAAATATTACTAGAATTGTTCCTGGCAGGCATCCTTATCAGTCCCAGCAGTCAAACTAAGGATTACATGGGCATGGAAACAGGATGACTTTCTCACCATTAAACATGGTCTGTCTGCATCAAGATTGAGCCAAGTTGATGAGGCATTGAGGAAGTTTGCCATACCACTGCCCGTGCTGTGCTTGTTTTATGGCTAAACAGACTTTGGTCTCTAAGTGCATCAGGCAGCAACATTCATTAAACATGTAAAATAATTTAGTTTGTAACACTATGTGTATAATATGTTGTTTTAGTATTGTATTTCACTATCTAAGGTGTCATAAACAGATAGTTAAGGGTTAATGCCTCTTTTACCTGTAAAGGGTTAAGAAGTTCACCTAGCCTAGCTGACACCTGACCAGAGGAACCAATGGGAGGACAAGATGGTTCAAAAGGAAGGAGGGAAGTTCCCTTTGCCTGGGTCAGTTTCACTTTTGATCGGAGGGAAAAGCTCCAGAATTCAGCCTCTTATCAAGTAGTGAGTATTAGTGAAGGAAATAAATAGGTTTATGTTTATTTCTTTGTAACCTGTCTTGTGCAATTAGAGGAATAATCAAATTGGGTATTTGGGTATTTTTTGTGTAACTAAGTTTTTGCCCAGGGGAACATCCTCTGTGTTTGGAATCTGTTGTCTGTGAGAGTAGCTGGTATGCTAATCTCTCCCAGAGAGCTTTCTTTTACCTTTCTTTTCTTTAATTAAAAGCCTTTTTTTATACCTGATTGATTTTTCCTTGTTTTTAGATCCAAGGGGGTTGGATCTGGATCCACCAGGAGTTGGTGGGAGAAAGGAGGGGGGATGGTTAATTTCTCCTTGTTTTAAGATCCAAGGGGTTTGGATCTGTGTTCACCAGGAAATTGGTGAAGTCTCTCAAGGCTGCCCTGGGAAGGGAAGTAGTACTAGGGAGTGGTGG